TTACAACACGAAGCTCTGTCAGAATTAACCATGTGCAACCATGTGTTGTCTGCTCTCCATGGAGAGCACAGTGGAGAGCACTGTGAGATTCAAAGCTGATGAAGTTATTGAAGGTTCCCTATTTTCCAAGACAGTAAATATTGCTGGATGTTAAAGGAAACTGGAGCGCATTATCTCGTGCCTGAATATAATTACTGAGGATACAGCAAAGATGGTGTTGTGCCGTGTGAGATATTCTCTGGTTCTAAATGTCGCGTTTCATGTTGGGGCAGCGAGGGCCCTCATACCGAGATGAGTCAACTGTGACCTTTTATGGTTTCCGGAAACGTATTGCTCATTTGGATGAGCTAATGCACACATGCTTGAAGAAAAACAAAAACACACATGCACATTGAAACGGACACATACATACAAACATACTCTTACCCCAGCACAGTGCGGAACGCCTTTTTGCATAATTCTTAATTTTGAGTTAGCAGTGAACGTCTGACATTTTAAACCAGCGATTCTTGTTTTTCTCTGTTACTTAGGGGAAGCAGAGCAAGCTGTAAGCACAATATTAACACATTATCACCTTATAAACCCATTATGACATAAATGTGACCAGGAAACCCCTATTTAAACATTAAGGAGACATGCATTGTACTGAGTTTCACTCTCCATTTTGGTCTCCATCAAACCCTTGTTTGATGAATGTCTGTATCTTCATCTGCTAAATGTTCCATTGTGCCTGTTTTTGTCTAGTTGCAAACTTGTAAACTTGACTGTTTGATATATAGTGACGGGCAAGTGAACTTGCAACAATACAAAAGCAAGATTACAGGTTGTGAAACCAAAAGGTTGGTAAGGAACCTTAAATGCTCCACAGAGTGGTTGAGTTGTGTGAAAGGTCTTTGATCACACATCGTCAACAAACAACATGTTTGACATTGCATGGAATAATCTCATGCTTTGTTAAAGGGATAGTTCACCGAAAAATGTTTTGTGGCCTCAAACACTTCCATCAGCATAGTGGAGTATGATAATGAGTCGATTTTCAATTTTCAACTATCCCTTTAATATATAATCAATTAAAGCAGCTCTAAAGATAATATCTGCAAATGTGAAAGTGTATACAACTCTTGAAGGATGTACATGTCAAGCATTAAAACCGCTCACTATATCTGTATGTTCTTCCCTAAGAATATGTATTTAAATATCAAAAATCCTCAATGACATTGCACATCTTTCATGACAAACAATGAGATTGTTTTTGTAGGAAATCTCCTCAGTGGTGTGGTCAGTGTCAGTGTGTGTGTGTGTGCGTGCGTGTGTGCTGACACAGATGAAAGGGCAATGATGGGTCTGGTGCCGAAGAGTCTGAGTGGGTTCTAATGGGGGGGTCTAAGAAATGCAAGTCCATTTAGACATGGTGCTGGACACACTGCACATGAAAGCAAGACTCCTCACAGAGTCGAAAATGGGGAGCACAAACAACAGCGGCGCACAGGGAGAGCAGGACTAAACTAATTTAACATTTGAAACTGGATTGCACAGGGCAGCTCTCAGGTGTTGCTGGTTATGACGTCCTGCAGAGAGATTCTCCTCAGCCCTCATCTTTACCATGGGAGCAGAGCTGGATCTGAGGCCAGAGCCAGAGCCTGACACCCTGACTCACCTACCTGCTGGGAACAGCTGGGCTCTGTCTCACGTCCAAAATAACGTTGAACCAACAGTTTTGTGCCTTAATCCCATCTGGTCTCGCTTTACTTTTCTAATAACGGAGTGACAATGTGGACATTTCCCCCACAATCAAAATGGATTGCATACCCCTATAGAGTCCTTTAAAAGTGTTCCAAGACCTACATACCTGATGGAACTTGGCTTTTGGGCTAGAGTTTCAAAGGGAGGGTGAGCTGTGACATGAAGGTTTTGTCCTTGTTCTTGCGTCCTCACATGTGTGTACGGTGCATGATGAAGGTGTGAGCAGCAGAGTGAAGTGAATGATGGCGGTGCCAAAAGTTGACCTCATGTGGCTTTTCATGCCCTTCTCATGGGAGGCATTTGAAGTCTGACACAGTCCCTCAGATCTCACATGTGGCTTGTGTTTGCAGTAAAATAACTCCCAGATCTATTGGCTGCTTTGAAATTGATGTAAACACGAACCTCTTTGCCATTTATCTCAGGCCACTTGGCTGTCTTTACAGTTTCACTGCTTTACAGCAGCGTCTTGTCATTCAGCTATGGCAGGGCTGTCTGTCCCGTCACGGCCTGTTCGTGTAAAAGTGGGTGAAAGAAAAAAGGAATGAAGAAAGGTTTCAAAATACTAGTAAATATGTTGACGTTGCCCAATTAGGTGAAATGCTAACTTTGAGCCAGGCTGCCAAAACACGGAACAAATGTGGTTTGAAAATGTCTTTTTGAGTGTCCTTGTTCGCTCACATTCATGAACTCAGGCGATATTTTCCCAAACTTTCTGCTTGCTTGTCAGTTACACAACACTGTGGTGTGGCACACTGCCTTGTTATTGTTAACAGACCCAACGTCCATTTTAGACTTATGGGGAAACAGCTCCTATGTTGCAGCTGATGCTGACATTTGTTTCATAGTTTCTCAGTCACAATTCCAGAAATGTCTTCAGGTCTGTCAGATCAAATCATGTGGATGCTTTATCGTTTCAAAAGATCCGAAATGGAATCATTTCTTTGTTGAGTTCGGTCTGTTTTGTCGATTTTGCGTCATTGTGAAATGAAGTTGATTTGATCTATAAGTTGAAGCTGCAGTGTAATTTGATCAGAATCATCCTCATGTAACTGATACAAAACCTGGCATTGTATGAGACATACGTTAAGACGTCTCTAATGCATTGTCTCAGCCATTGCTGTGTGTGTGTACTCATGTCTGTTACCACTTTACATTCGTTTTCAGCATAAACACTGACCTTGTCAGGACGAGTAGACCTCATGGGGACTAAAGCTCAATCCTAATGAGGCAGAACATCATTTCTGAGCTCCTGGTTAAGATTAGTAATATGATCTGAATGGTGGTTAGTTAAGTTTAGGGTTAAGCATGAATTGGTCATGGTTAAGGTTAGGTTGTCTGAAATGAACAGAAGTCAATGCAAAGTCCTAAAAAGGATAGCTGCACAAACCTGTGTGTGTAGTGCTGCATTCTAGAAAGGGGGTTGGGTCTGAAACATCATTTCATAGTTGCAAAGGACTCATTGTCTGCTCTAACTCCCTGGATGTCTGTGGCTTGTTCAAACCTGAGAAGCAACATTAACATTGTGGGATTGTACAAGAGCTAAAAATGTCTTGTTGGTAACTGAGTACAGCTTTAATAATAATGCAGCCAGAGGTCCCTAATGGTTCTATAGGACAAGACACTGAAATCTTCTGCCTTTACAACTATCATATAAATGACTAGAATGACTCAGCAAATTTCACACACTCATAGACATCAGTTAATGTTTTTGATATGCTAAATGTGATTGATTATTTTTCATTGAGATCTGTGACTTACTCCCTCTGAAATCAGTGAAAATGACAAAGAAAGTGATAGAAAATGTTATTCCTCCCTGTCCCTTACCACACCCTTCCTACAAGCTTGTGGAAATCGATCCTGTAGTTCTTGCGTAGTCTTGCGTACAAACAAACTGACAGGGGAGAGCATGACCTTCTTGGTGGAGGTAATCAAAGGAAGGGGTTTGTTGGTTTGAATATTCCTCTGCATAGAGGTATATATTGCAAAGATACACTATAAATACACAAGCAAAGAATCCTAATCAGTAAAAGAAATTGAAATCTTGAACTCATTCCACGCTGACTCTCCTACTCTCACAATGAGCACTGCTGCTGCACAAGAGAACACTTTGGTTTTTTGACTGGAAATACATGGAAAAAGAAGATAAAGAAATGCTGCTGCAGTCATTCTTACATAGGATCCCGTATGAACGCTGCAACGTCATTTTTGACGTATAGTTCTTTTGTTTCCCTGCTTCCTTTTCTGTAAAGGCAACACCTACAATAACAGCCCTTTCTTTTGAAAATATGAAATATTGACATTTGAGAGTAGAGCGGATGTAAAAATGCTATGACAGGTCCTCACATGCTTCCATCATTTCTTTTCAGCATCACCGCTAAATCCATCAGTTGTGTTACATCCACTTCATATGCTTGTTTAAAATCAACAACCTACACATTCCCTCCATCTGTACTTTCCATTCCACTGTTGTGAAAACCACAAATGCATATTTAAAACAAAATAATAAGTTTCCAAAACCAAGCTCTATAGTTGCAGTGTGGTCTACAGTTTTGCGGTACTTCCCAAAACTGAATAATATAGGAAAGGTTTACCTATGATTAGTATGTTACCTCTGCCTCTATGCTTGACTGTGTGCTGGCACTCACACATAGCTTTTAGAAAACAGCACAAAAATAATTTAATAGACCTGATTTTAGAGCCATTGGGAGGGGAGAACAACTCATACCCGAGGGCCCTGGAAAAAGGCAGGGAGAGATGGAAGGATCACGGCACAGCGGTAAATAATGTTACAGTATGAATAATGAGATCCCTCTGTGCCGGGGCCTCCACTGGACTAATGACAGAGACCTGTTTTAGATTATGTCTTACACAAACATACACGCACACATGCATACATGGGCATAATGCAACACACACTCAGGCAAGAGGCCCTATCAGCTTAGATAATGTGTTGCCCATGGCATGAAGAACACTGGGAGGAAACAAAGGAGGCAGAGGGAAGCTCACACATCCTCAGTCACTCTTTATCCTTTTTCTTTGAATTGTCATGTGCATTTCTTCTGTTTTCCTGTCAGTCTCACTCTTATCAACTATTTTCTTGATCCATAGTCTGAAACTCAAATTTCCTTCAGGGTCAGGTTTTCCAGAGATATATTATAATTTATACATCAACTATGCATCCATACAAGTTCTTATCGTGGTGCAGGTCTGCCACCTGCTGTCAGCAGTAGGTTCATTTCAAGAAGAAAATCATGCTATGATGTTCACATCATGATTTATTTTTTCTTTGTCAGAATCTTCATGTAAAACAAAATACAACCATTCAACCATATTAAATGTCTGTCTCTTTTATCTATAATCTTCAAACTGATTGTGATTCTCAGCTGTCCTCTACACAGTAGCTTTTAAAGTAGTGATCTCTTGTTAACTATAGCACAACGTGGTGCTGTTCACACTCTGCAGGCACATTTATCTATAAAAAAAGGTCTCTGAATATAGGTTTCAGGTATTAAGTCAAATTCTCCCTTGAGGGAAGTTAGTTGCCTAAATTGAACAGAATTAGAGGGCTGGGATATTATATTAAAAAAAAATCAATGAACATGGTTCATAATGTAAATTATCTACATATGACAAAAAGGTCATTATATACAACTCTGGTACAGTGCCTGCCAATCTGCTGTTTTTCATTAGATATAGACTGTTGCACCACTCATTTACGATATGCTGGTTGTTGAGCAGTTGTATTCAACACAAAGCATATCTGCAGAGGAATGTGGATTTACAATGTACATTCATGTACATCTTGGCTGCTTATCCTCTGCCAAAAACAGTGATACTGGAGTTAAATCTAAGCCAAGCACTGTGATACTAGTTCATGTTCCTTCAGCTGCTTCCTCCTTGGTCAATTCTAGGTGTCAAAATGGCTCCAACTGTTTGTTGTTTCAGTCTTAGTTAACATCCTGCCCACAGCTCCTTGCTCCACTGGCAAAGACAGACTTAGGCAGGGCCGGGTGAGAGAAGGTGAGAAGCCACCGTGATTCTTCTTCCTCCTCATCTCTTCTCCAGTTTTTTGAATCTGGCCTCTGTAAAGAAGCAGACAGTCAGGGACTGGATCAGTCTATAATTAAAAGCTGCTAAAGTCCAAATGCAACACGATCTGGTGACATTTGGCTGCATTTGTGGTTTGATATATAAAAATATGTAGGTATGGATATGCCTGTGGGATCACAGCACCATCTGCTGGTGGACATCATAACAGACGTGGATGGACAATAAATGAACAGGGAATAACATCCCAGAAGAGATAGCCAGCACTTAAAGAAAGACTACCATGCAGAAAGTGTTCTCTCAGTGGCACAAACACAGTTATTAGTAAGACTCAGTTAATTAGCAAAGTTAATAAGTTATTTTTAACAAGCAGCAATGATTGGATTGCTCGACTTTTAGAGGGAGTAGGCTCAAAACATGTGGTGGGATAACCAATGAAGCATTTAAAAACATATTCTGATTGATCTACATTTGCATATGTGTGATTGTTTGTTTAATTACTCTCATTGCCAGAAGGAGGAGACAAACCTTCTGTATTGCAGGTTTAAATATGATTAGTCCTGCTAATAATATTCTTTGGGAGAACATCTTATACATACATACACAAGTTCTGCACCTCTGTGAATCAAATGTCCTACCCAGCTTTTTGGAGTACGCATCCAGTTTGTAAGCAGCTTGTTCAAGTGCAGATACTTGCTCCTCGATCTGATTTATTTGGTCCAAGTAGGGCTGTAGGCTTGCATCTGAGGAATATACACATCCCATCTAGAACTGAATCACATAGCATAGGAATAATATATGAATTACAAATACATCTGTACGTCTCACTCACACTTATTGTTGAGATCCTGTAGGTTACGGCTGATATTGATGCTGATGTCCTTCATTTCCATGTACTTGAGACTGGTTAACTTGTTCATGTTCTCCAACAGACAGTAATCCTCGCAGGTGGCTGGAAGGTTGTGGAGATGTGGAGAGTGTGCATGAGAGAAAAGAAACCAGGTGAGTAAAGAAGAGTGCAGAATGAACAGGAAATCAGAAATGACTCTTGCACACTGCAGGTGCTTCTGCGAGCATGAAAAACAAGACAAGTGTGACCACACCTGTGAGTTCTCCTTGCAGGAAGATGGCCATCTTGTCAAACATGTCCGTGCACAGCTCATTGATGTCAGGCTCTGCAGGCTCCACAGCCTCCTCTGCTGTCTCCACACCCCCATCACCTGCACACAGTCACGAGAAGCAGCAAAAATACACAGACATCACCGAGTTCAAGCATAAGAATGAACATTTGTATTACAATTATAACAAAGCCACATTTGAGAAAGCTATAGTACAAGGGAAACTGGTAGACAATTTGAATGGCGCTAAAAACAGAATGTTATTGATTTTTTTATGCGCTTTTAGCATTAGCATGCTGCGGAAGCTGCAGGGGAACATGACCCACTGTTGGTGTGGGGCTTTCTGGGAGCGGGCGCCGGGCTGGCCGCTGCATCCTCCGGGCCTTCTGCCTGACTGCTGGAGCCCGCGGCCGGTGTCAGAGCCGCTGAGTGGGCCGCTGGAGCCCGGGAGATGTTGTCCATGGCTGAAGCCTCGTCCCCGGTCGCTGCCATTTTATTTCCGTTTTGTTCTCCGTGTCACATGAGCGGAGTGGTCACGTGACATCCACCCGCCACCACAGAGCACCGGCCCTGCTCGCGCGCATTGCCACGCCCTTAGGTTGACTGATGGCTGTGTCCTGACTGAGATCACTGTCCATTACTTCATCCAGGCAAAGGTTTATATTCTGTGGATTCATAGTTGAAGGCCCCATCTGTAGTTTTAAAATGAGTACAAATTATAATTTGATAATTTGTTATATATCTCAACCAGTTAAATCTATAAATATATTCACGGCAAACTACTGCAAAAACCAGCCAATAATTGTATTTGATTGGTTTTTAACTAATTAATGGATGTGTTATTAATGAGAATAATAACATCCAGATTAAATTTGCACTAATTTGATCTTGAAATTTGCAATAATAATTATTCTTAAATGGTTTATTATTTTATTATAATGTATTATTATTATTATTATTCAAATAACCCATATCAGTGTTCAGTGTTTACACCAATATAAGCTCCCATGCATTACTTTATGTTTTGTTCCCTAGTTGCCTAGACAATACTTGACTCAAATCCATATTTGTGTTGTTGTTTTTTTGTAAAATATTGTTGCTCAACACCTGCTATAGGAATAAATCTCACTTGACCTACCAATTTCTAGCAATGTAATTCAATTGTTTTCATACATATAGCATATCGCAAATGGTATTTACATTACATTATTAGGACCAATAACCCCATTGAAATCAGTGTGATGCTCATCTAATCTACAATAAAGAGCTGAACTGATGCTCAAATAAAAAGTAAATATTTCTCTACTGACACAGATTGTTTGACCAGTGAGTATTTGAGGTGACTTTGGCCTGACAGTGGGAGATCTCATCTTAAGTCATGGAAAATGCATTTCACTATGTATTTGTTCACCATCAGAAAATACTATTTCCACCAGGAAAAAACAGAAACAACAGAAATGACAGAAAACGTAGAGAATAAAATGGAAATCTATATTTTATTAATTATTGTCTGCAGAATTCTCCATTAAATCGGGCTTCGTTCATCACTGGTGTTTATTAGAAAGTGTAAACGACTCCGATGTTAAACAATAACTCCCACATCTAAGGGAGTTTTTGCCAAGCGCGCTCCCGCACGGAGCATGCGGTTCTTGGCAGGCGAAACTCGGCGCAACACCTGTGTCGGCGCTGTTGTGGGGGAAGTCAGATCGTGACAGGCTAACAGCAGCGGACTGTAAACATGGCGGCGTGCACAGCCACAGGGCTGCGCCGAACACCTCGTTACTATTAGGCCGAGAGACGGAGACACCCCGACAATGGAGACCGAAGAGGAGCAGCACATAACGACGCTCCTCTGCATGGGCTTCCCAGACCCCGACGTGATACGGAAGGCGCTCCGGTTGGCAAAGAATGACATCAACGAGGCTGTGGCGCTCCTGACGAACGAAAGCCCCGGACTCGGGTATGGATACGAGCCGATGGAGAGTGGGCCTGCTCCCGGCTCGGGCTCGAGTGGAGACGGGGAAAACAGCGGGCGGACTGGGACAGGAGGGTTTGACCCGCCGCCTGCGTACCACGATGTGGTGGATAGCGAGGTAAGAGCGAGCATCCACCGGAGCAGCCAGGGAGGAGAACAGGACTAATTGCAACTTAAGAGGAGATGGTGGGCTCGCCCATTTAACCAGCTAAACTTAGCAGCTCCGCGGCTACATGCACCGAGCACAAGGCGCTGTCAGAGCAGGAGGTGAATTACTCCACAGTCCTCAGGGACCACGCATGTCACTGGCTCATGGTGACCGGATGACTGGGTGTTCACATGGAGCTCAGCTACTTCAACCACGAGGCTAAATATCATTTGTAAACTTACAAGCTAACATAGCTAGCTAGCTGCTAGCTTAGCGTCAGTTGGGAGCTGAACCCGCCAGTGAGTGGACCGGGGGGGGGGGGGGGCGGCACAGAGGCATCACTCCGGAGGATTTCAATCAGAGATTTGATGTGGCAGTGATCTGGTTGTGATGATCGGTTCGGTCTGTTGTCCTGCGCTCAGATATTTGGATGCGTTTCAGTCTGCTTAGCATAGGTTAGCTAACGTTAGCTAGAAGGTTCACTGACAGCCTCGACCCTCCTCATGTCCTGCACACATCGCAGTCCACTCGAACCGGACTCACAAGCGGTTTCGCAATGCCTTTGTCATACGTGGCCATTTTGGTCATTCTCCTGCACACACTGTCAATTGTCAACATGTGTTTGTGAGTGATAACTGTCGTGTGATGCTTCCAGGCCACTCACTGGTTCTTTGACAGCTATTTGACAGTTGTCAGTAATCTACCTGCAGGCCCTCTCACTTGGTCCCAGCTCACTGTCAGTGTGGTGTTGCAACAGTCAACTCCACTGGCTACTTTTAAATACATCAAAATAAATTAGTGCACATAACATGGCAGGATTGATTTGACTGACACCATTGAGGAGCTCGTGGCTGTTTTCCTTCAGTAACTTGACCTCAAACCTGTTGCTTTCACAGATCTCATCAAGCTGGTATGTGCAGTCAAAAGATATTCAAGCGTTCACAAGCCATTTCATTTGTTGGGTCATAGATTCAGATATTCACCCACGTGCTGCATCCCTCTGATGGTAAAGTTGTTGTGCTGCTGAGATCCAACACTGTGTGTGGTTCAGTACAACAGGTCTGAATAAACAAGGTCCTTTCCTCTTTACCAACCTGTCAATAGAGGGAATATATGCAAGCTTGAGCCTTAAGTTCCACAGCTTATATACATACTGTGGAGACGTCTACAAAAATCACATTTGTGGTGAGACTGAGATAGTATCAATTGAAGGTGAAAGTGCTGTATTTCCTCCCTTCTATTCCTCTTTCTGCTGTATTTATGTGTAAGGAACATGTTACAGGTCTTTGGCCTCATGCTATGTTCCTAAATATAGCCCCTGTAGACTCCCTGACATACACAAACACATTGCAGCTTTTCGCAGAGGGGGTCCCAGGAGGGTTGCAGGGTGCATAGTAACAGAGAGGCGATAAGTTACCTCATGCACCTTTCCCCTCAAGGCTTAAGGTGTTGAAGCGAAGTGTGGATTTCACAGAGATATGTAAGTGACTCCATTGTTGTAGAGAGAGAGAGAGAAAGATTCATATTTAAATAAAATGACTAGATTTTTACTCTAAAGTTAAATCAACAGGGTTTTTTCTTTGTGAAACTGTAAGGAAATCTTGCATACATAGATTGTGTTCTATGACTGCTCTTAACATAGTGTCTCTCTCCCTCTCCATACTCTCATTCATCTTGCCTGTCATTTCTAGTTTTCTGAGAAAGGGAAGGAATGAAATATGATGCTTCTCTATTGCTTCCTCCTCCCATTCCCTCCCCTCCAGTTCGCCTCTACTTAATGTCCCATCCATCAATTTATATTATCCTGCATATGTATCAGTATGCAGTGCACTAACACATGCACTTAATACATTGTCCATTAATTATGCTAATATAACTATAACTGTATAACCCCATGCAGTGCCCCCAGGCAGAATAGACAAATTAATTGTAATAGTTTTGCAGAATTATCATGTAGTGTGAGCTGAATCCCAGGGCTCAGTCTTGGTTAAATATACTTTTTCATGCAAGAAGAAACATAAATTACTTGATTTCAAATACGACATAAGTCGTGATGCTTTAGTTTGGTCAACCATTCCACTGGGCAGCACTCTTTCAGAGGAGGGAGTTATGCAGTTTGATCATGAATATTCAAATGACTCCATGAATGTGTGAGCAACTTAATGATGTAAATAATTCAAAAATCCTTTGTCTGCTGTTGCTTTCACCACACACTCACAGACCTTAACTCTCATAGCAGCTGTTTGCTGAGAACTTGTTGTTGCACATCACAACCCTTTTGACATAATCGCACAGTGTACAATGTGAAATCACGTAAGTGTGTGGATTTGTCCTGAAAGCAGCTTGAGAGAAAGAAGAGGGAAAAATAAAATAGAGATGAAGGTCAGATCATAGAGGAGAGGACACACATTCTTACTGCTCGTCTCCCAAAAGGAGGAAATGAATCAAGCATCGTCCTGCCTGACTTTATCTTTGCTGGAGGCCATTTGGATTATCTTAGAAAGGCACAGACTGTTGCTGTCATTATAAAACAATGAGACCAGCTGTTTGAAATGAAGTCACTCACTGCATTAGATTGTGATTGTGACTTTGTCATGTGTGTGTATTCCAGAGGAGCAATGATGAGAATGGGAACTGTTCCGGGGGAAGCATGGAGTTCCCCACCACCAACCTGTATGAGCTGGAGAGTCGAGTCTTCACTGATCACTGGTCGATACCTTACAAGAGAGAGGAGTCCCTGGGCAAGTGCCTCATCGCATCCACCTGCCTCGCCAGGCACAGTAAGTGTGTGTGTGTTGAAAGTCGTTTTTATGTCTACATTAAACTAAATTCTTTCCATCTGTGTTTCTGTGTGGGTGGCATGTTTTGTTTGGAGCGTCTGGTGTTTTTCACATGTTGTTATTCTGAAACCCCGTGTTAACGTGGCTAAATCTGCGTCTCTTTCGCCACTGCCATTTTTTCTTCCCAAGTATAAATGTGGGTAAAATATGTCAATCCATCATCTCCCCATCTGTCAGGTCTCGCTGACGCTGATGAGAACTGCAAGCGGTTTATAGATCGCTGCATGCCGGAGGCCTTTAAAAAGGTGGGCAACAAAGAAACAGAGCAAGTGAGTTGTGCCGTTAATCCATATTTTCACTGACTTTAATCTTTTCTGTCAATTTGCTCTCTGTCCTCAGTTGCTGACTAGCAGTGCTGTACACAAATGGGGCACAGAGATTCATGAGGGGATCTACAACATGCTCATGTTGCTGGTGGAGCTGGTGGCAGAGAGGGTCAAGCAAGACCCTGTACCTGTAAACCTGATGGGAGTCCTGACAATGGTGTGTTCTCTCTTACTCTGTCTCACTTGTCTTTTGATGCCTCTACTCTGTCTTTTGTCTGTGGAAATATTTTAAATCTTTTAAGAAACTACTTTGCTGGAAACATTTTCATC